AAACAAGGAACATATATGACAATAACTTCTCCTCCTAAATCTTACATGCAGACCGAAGCAAAGAGTAATGTACGAATTATATTAGTACCTTTTCGCTTACACACCACGATCATGAATAGAACAGAGGCGGTCCTATGTCTTCCTAAATTCCAAGAGGTCGGGTTCTTTTTCTGCACGTAATAGAAAGGAAGCTAATTCAACACCAATCGGTTGCATGCAGAAGGAAAGGTCACTCCGGACTGATTCAGGTATGAGAGATAAGTAAGAAAGGGAATGTTTTACCTCCTTATGTGAGGGTCATCAGCCGAACCCAAGAAGGGCAGTGAGGTGGTGAGCAGAAGTTGGATTTCAATCTCCTTAGTGTTGGGGTTAGGCTGCGCACAAGTGAGACAGAGGGACAAATGCTGAATTTCGGACACGCTCTGCATGCAACGGGAGACAGCTCGAATCGAACCCAAGGTATGCGTACACCAGGAGAACTTAATCGGACCAAGTCGCGCAGGAGGGAACCAGAAAATGGGCGAACATCTCACCTTATTGCATGTGGATCCTCAGCCGAATGGGGAAGGAATAACTATGGGGACTTAGATGACAATTTCTCTCTTGAAGGACTCACGGTCTAGGTGGGGCGATGAATGGAATGAGTTAAACTCTGGTTTCACGGTGCTCTTCTATGGAGTCCACGGTTTTGGAAAGCAATTGGGACTATAAGGGATACTAGACAGTTAACAAGTAGCCCTGTGACTTACTTTTACAATGCCTAGGAAGAAGGAGGGGGAACACGATGGCCTCACGATCGGTATTGAGGTTCAGTCAAAGCTAAAACAACTATCAGACTTGTTATCTCTTCATTCTACGCACGATCAGAGGAAGAAATGATAATAAAAGATGTATGATTTCCAACCAATAGAATTTCATGCATCAAGAGTGGGCCAATAAGAATTATACATATGATCAGACTTCTTTTTCTACTCATGACACAAAAAGGAGGTGCAAGGTTGGAAGGGCTTTTGGGTTGCTTAGGCCCACCATGAGACATTTGGGCTGATCGGCCCTCAAGGGAAGAATGGTTTCAAAATTAATGTCTTAAAGGTTCACCTATCCTTTTGACTAGGGTTTTGTGGGTTGGCTCAAAAAAAGCTCACGGGTTAGCTCGAAATGATGCCAGTGGTTTGTCTCGCGGGTTGGTTAGCTCAAAATATTACCAGTGGGTTGGCTCGTGGGTTGGCTCAAGTAGATTAAGCAATCAAATTCCTCAAGTAAAAATCAAAATTTAATTTTTCCAATTTCATTTCCCCCTTAACTATAATGGACAGAATCGACAAATAAGGATACACAACAAAAAGACTTTATATTACTTTTACAGCGGAGAACGCCCCTGGAAGAGAGAACAATTAATTAAAAAATAAATAAATAACACAAACAATTAAAAAAGAAAGTATAATGACAGAGGAGAAGCAATGGCACAAATACCTGATGGAGGCGAAGAAGCCACAAGTTTGCATACAAGCTGTATTTTCTTTATGATAAAACCTGGTCAAATAAATGATACAGATTTTCAAATTATAACTACACCACTGTTTAGATTTCAATAATCTTACAAAAAAAAACTATATTTTAGATTTATGAAAACTGCAGAGAAAACAGAATAAGAACCCATGACGTTGAGAACTCGTGAATGAAAATAAGAAAAATAATGAGAACACAAATTCAATTAAAAGAAAATAGAGAGACTCGATCGTTGAGATAGTTTGCGAGATTTGGAAATGGTTTCGGTGTCTGCGACGTCGGTGTGGGTGGGGGACCTAGGGCTGGGGTGAGTGTGAGTCTGTGTCTCTGTAATGTGCGTCGTGCAATCTGTCCGTGTGTGAGGTTCTGAGGTGTGACTCAATTTGTTATATTTTATTTGTTTAATTAGAAAAAGGTAACCCGCGTGCCAACCCGTTTGACCCGCGAGCTGACTCATTTTTGTTCGGGTTGGATCGAGTCGGGCTGAATCGAGTTGGCAGCTCATTTAGGCCAACCCAACCCGACTCATTTATGACGGGTTGCGAGCCAACCCGACGGGTTGGCTCATTTTTGCCAACCCTATATGGAATCCTAGGGGAGTTAGATAAACCTCTCCTTAGATAAACCTCTCCCATCATGCTTTTTAGTCTTAACATGAGTACCATTATTTAAGGGTTGATAACACTTAAAATCATGAAGATATGAATTGGCTAAGAGATTGTATGAACCACATAAAGTATGAATGAGTTAAGTTGATTTTAATATCATGATAAGGAAAGAAAAAAGTTAACTCACACTTTGTATATGGATAAATGGCTAAGTCACAAGTGTAAGTGACAAAGTCAAAATATTTTCTTATATTATTTAATAACTATGCTGCGCTTAGTTACCATAAATAGTATTCAGACTAGATGCATACGAGATGTTACACGATCTAAAGTTAACTTGTTCATATAAAGAGTAATCAATACCGGCCTTTCAGGATTCTTGGTAATGGATTATCATGATTGAGTAATTGATTACTAGCCTATGAAAAATAGTTATATCCATAATAGATAACCTTTATATGAATTTTTAACTTGGATAATTGATTACTGACAGAGAGAAATAAAATTTTGATTGTTATAAAAAGTTTTCTCAATTAAACTAAGTTGGGTTATTTAAAAAAAAAACATCTTGAAAGACTTTGTTAGTAAAATTATGCAATGATGAACTATATGGAAATATGCAATTGAGCTTATAAGTGAAAATACCGTAATACCATACAAAAGATCTAAGTCTAAAACTAGATACCATAAAGGCTTGGACTTGACCTTTTTTACTTTGGTTTGTATCATTAAAACAACTTTATTGTTATTCATGGTTTGTCATCTTCAAAACATCTTGTTGCTCATGATGTTGTTTTCTTCAAAACTCTTTTTACTATTGCGTATGATTTGTTATTTGTTGCTCGTTGTTTGTTATCATCAAGACATCTTTTGATAGCTACATCAAGTTCTTTTGGTCTTGATTCAACAATCTCTTATGTTGTAATCAAGCCATGATTCTAGATTAGAAGCTCAAAATAACCAAAGATTGAATCATTGATGAAGTTGAAGCTCAAAACTTGAAGAAATATCTCCCTTTCCTTCTTCATCTTCCTCTTCTATTTTCATTCTTTTCTTTTCTTCCTTTCTTTCTCTTTTCATTTTCTTTCACTTTTTGTTTCCACCTAAGTCTCCTTCCCTCTTCCCTTATTTTTATTATTTCTTTTATCTTAATCATATATAAGTCCCATATTTATTTGAATTCATATTTTTGTGTTTCTTTGTTCACATACATGCATATTCACTTAGACTTGTCTTAAATCAAAGATTGAAGAATTTGGGTTTTACATAAGAAAAAGAGACATTTTACGAAAAGATTTTAAAAAACTCAATTCACTTACTCTTGAGTTTTGAATCCACTTATTCGACTAAGTTCTAGTCCTATTTCTTGTCGCACTTTTCGTGTTGATTTATTCTATTTAGGTATAATTCAAGTTCTTGTCTCAAATCTTGTGTCAAGAGTCATGTTTGCAAGATTCTTAACGTAGCAATAGTTGTGACCTCTGGTTGTAATTCTCTACTTAATCACTTTGTTAATAAGATATTCACTAGAAATTTCCCCCCTTAATGAAGTAAGATGATTAAGCATATGAATAAAGGGCTTTTATGAACAATCATTGGTTCAGGTGGTAAGGAGCTTGTTCCCTTTAACTAGAGATCTTGAGTTCGAGCCCTACGACTGAAGAAAATGATCTTAGGAAAGCAGCCTCCTATAATAGATTTGATAGTGCTTGAACTGGATTAGTCGAATAATTGATGAAGCAGTGAATATATCCAAAAAAGAAAGAATAAAATGACTTTTAGCATGTCTTGAATGCTCTCTCCTTGTTTCATTGTAAATAACTCATACTTAAGTGTTACAGTGTTCATTCTAGCTTTTTTAGCTTCACTAACGCCTTCATGCATGACTTGTAAGATTTCCCATATATCTTTGTGTTATTTTGCCATTTGAGATTCTAAAGAGCTCATCATATCCTAATGTATAATTAATAGTGTTCTAGCTCTCAAGTTGTATTGTACTCTTCTTTTGTCATGTTTCATCCATTTACTCCTAGGTATATTTACCTTAACATCATTTACAATGTGAGTGAGATACTAGGAATTACTTTTTATAACATCCTAAACATCTAGATTAATAGTTTTAATGAAAATTTTCATCATTTTCTTCGAATGAGAAGAATCTAATTATTGAAAGTAGGAGATCTATCTACAGAAGCACTTTTCGGGAAAATGAGTTTGTTGAAGGCTTGAAGCCATCATTCATCTCTAAGTTGTTTAACTTTTTTTTTTTTTTTTGGAAATAAAGTTGTTTAACTTTAAATGTTAATTAAGTTGTGCTACAACTTCTTACTTAGTGGTTTCAATTTCAAGAATGTGTGAATTGAATTTGTAAAACTTTTTAAAAGTTTAAGATTCCAAATTTTCTTTGAAGCTACACAGTACAGATGAGATAAGTGTAAAATTGATTACAAATTAGATTATTATTATAATTTTAAAATAGTTGTTGGAAAGAATTTAGTGTTTAGAAAAAAAAAACTCATTGTCCTAAATATTAAATATAAACAAGTCATGTATAACCTAACTAGATTTATTTTAAATTTTTTTTTAAATAATATATTACCACATAATTTAATATTGTAGTAATTATTTTTAAACTATGTTGCACCAAAATCAAATTCATAAAATAATTTTCTTTTTATTTGTTTACCACTTTCTCGTGAAGAAAAAAAAAGGGATCACATGTTATCAAAAAAAAAAAAAAAAAAGGGATCACAAGCTCTTTTAAAAAAGAAAAAAAAAAGGGAACAGATCCAAAATCCAAATCCAATCATAGAGTTGTTAAGGAACCTACATTACATTAGTAACGTTGTCTTATTGAGCGGGCAAGCACATTGGTTGACCAGAACATAGCAAGGCTTCTCTTTCCTCTTTGAAAATCTCAAACTTAAATCTTGTTTTTGGGTTTTCTTCATTTATCATCAACATCATCACTATCTTCTTGTTCTTCTTCTGTGACGACAATGATATTGACATGACATTAGTGGTTTGTTGATGATTTTGTGAAAGTAGAAGGAAGAGGGAGCATTGATTCACAAAGATGGCATGGAGAAATGGGTGTGAGGAAGTGGCTCAATCGAAGCCTATATTTCTAACGATCTACACTGTGGTCATCATTGGCATCGTTGTTTCTTCTTTCTATGTCTTTTCTGCTATTTACTCAAGCAACCCTCCTGCTTCTCAATCTTCTGCATGGCTCTCTTCCCTTTCGCGTACATCTCTTTTGCTTCACACTCCTTTTGTGCTTAAAAATCATTCCTTTTTCTTGTTCCATTCTATTAGTAGCTTAAATTTGAAATACCCATATGAATTTAAGGACTGTTACTGGTTTCTCATTCATAGTGTGGATTGAACTTATTGTTTGAAGGCATATCTCTGTGTACTTGAATTTGAATCTGATTGGTTATCTTCATAGATTATATTTTGTTCTTTATTATTGTTATTATTATTTATTGTTGTATTCCTTAGATAATGATATTTGCTTTTTTATGTCAAAGAGGAGGGGAGGGGTTGGTGGGAGTGTTCAAACACGTTTGAGCTATGTAGCATTAGCTGAATCCTCTAATTGTAGATGCTGTACTTCTAGGTATGTTGATTGTCTAGTTATTCTGGTAGGGCTTACTTGTTTCTTTTTGGAAAAGGAAAGTTTGACAGATCTTTTATTTGTGATGTGAACTCTCTCAACTGTCTAAAGACAGAACAAACATTAATGGACACACACAGAGAGAAAAAGAGAGAGTTTTTAGTCATAGTATGTAGTTGCTAGAATGTACTTTGGTATTCTCGACAGCACATTTCAATAGTTTTATTTATCAGTTCATGAATATGAAACAATTAATCTGATTCTTGCTTTCTTCGAGTCCATGTCTTTGAATGAATTCATTATTCAGTGCATCTGCTTTACTAATGGTATCTTTGAAATGGTTGTTTTGTTAGCTACCTTCCTTAATTTTGTTAATGGTGCCAGTGCAAGACACTTTTAAATTCTTTAAAGCCTTGGTTTTCTTCCGTTATCTATGAGTTGGATTTTAAACCTTAATTGAACATGCTTTTCCAGCTGAGGATCCTCACCTTACAGATCAAACACTCAACTTTTCTCAGCCAGCAATGGTGCATACTCTTCCCACTCCTTCCCCGGGCACACAAAATGCATGGCCAGGGGCTATTTGGGGCGTTCCACCACCCAATAAAAAAATGCCACCTTTGAAGGCTTTCCGACTGACCAAAGAACTGGTTCAGAAAAGGGTGAAAGATAACATTGTAATTGTGACCTTTGGTAACTATGCATTCATGGATTTTATCCTGACTTGGGTTAAACAATTGACGGATCTGGGAGTTACTAATCTTCTTGTTGGTGAGCATCATCATTTAAGTATTCTATCTTGTTCTATCATGTATTTCGTAAAATTTGTTGTGATGCCTTGCTAGAAATGCATGTCCTGTATTTTGTACCATTGATTGGATTTTGTAAATTGTGTTCGGAATCTGGCTTTTAGGTGCAATGGACACGAAATTATTGGAGGCATTGTATTGGAAAGGGGTACCAGTTTTTGACATGGGCAGCCATATGAGCACAGTAGATGTTGGCTGGGGGTCTCCAACATTTCATAAAATGGGGAGAGAAAAAGTTATTCTAATAGACTCAATACTGCCTTTTGGCTACGAGCTGTTGATGTGTGATACTGACATGGTTTGGTTGAAGGTGATCTTCATTTTTACATTATGCTTTCTTAAGTCAAAAGGGTGATTCATGTGCTTGCTTGGTTTTTGATTAATGGTAAAAAAGGGCAGCTAAATTCGTATTGAGTAGGATTTCTACCTTTTTTGTGGTGAAGTTATCAGAGTTTTTGTTAAGCTTCCAGTCCAGCTTGCTATAACATTTATTTAATTCTCTAATTCTCTCTAGTATCATTTAACTTTATCTTGTTCCTTGATATTTTCCTTTGTCATTATTATGATTTCTTATCTGTAACATTCATTATGTACAATTATCTTTTAGGATGTCTCCAAGCCAATAGTGTGATTGTTCTAAGATATATGTTATTCCTAATACATATGTTCAATTATGTATTGTAAAACAGAACCCACTTCCATATCTTGCTCGTTATCCAGGAGCAGATGTTTTAACTTCAAGTGATCAAGTTATACCCACAGTTGTTGATGATAGTTTGGAAATTTGGCAAGAAGGTGGGTGTTATACCCACAGTTGTTGGTTCTTGTAGCATATTTGTTTTCTGCTTGCGCAATATTTATGAATTATATGCACATCAAATGACATCTATGGACACGAAAATGCTGATTCTTTGATTGATTGTCACCTTTTATAACATCTAATAAATTTTTTTTATGCTTCACTGTAGAGTGCTTTGTTACCCATTTGGCATGGCTTTAGATTAGGAGTTAGTAATAATTTTCAGCATGCAACCTTTGACGGTCTGAAGTTTTTTTTTTATTCTGTTAAATGTAAATGATCTTCTTCGTACATAAAAGCAAAATTTATCTTATGGAAGTTCAGATCCTGTGGCATATCCAACTTATGAAGTTACATGGCACAATCTGAAGCAAGTTTTTCTCTCCCTGGTTATATTGTTTTTGAATCTCAGTAACCAATTCATTGCTCTTATTGCTTTTCTTTATCTCTCGTTTTATTGTGCATTTGTTTCACTTGTTTAGTTGTTTCATAAGACTGTATATTGATGATATTGTCTGTCACTTTGAATAGTTAGCGGCGCCTATAACATAGGAATTTTCCATTGGAGACCGACAGAGTCTGCAAAAAAATTGGCAAAGCAATGGAAAGAAATGCTTCTAGCTGATGACAAGATATGGGATCAGAATGGGTTTAATGAAATTGTTCGCAGACAGTTAGGACCATCTGTTGATGATGATAGTGGACTTGTTTTTGCTTTTGATGGAAATTTGAAGCTGGGAATTTTGCCTGCAAGTATCTTCTGTAGTGGACATACATATTTTGTCCAGGTAGGACATATTCAATAACAATTTTCAGTTTCTGGTTTTTTATGTGCTATACCTTTGCTTTCTTTTATGCAATTAACTGTTTGGACTCTGGAGGAATCTTGATTGGATGAGAAGTAAATTGTGTACCTGTTTGACGTGAGAATATTTGTATGCTATGATTGCAGGCTATGTACCAGCAACTAAGGTTGGAGCCATATGCAGTGCACACAACATTTCAATATGGAGGCACTGAAGGAAAGCGCCACCGACTGCGAGAAGCCATGCTCTTCAATGATCCACCAGAATACTATAATCCTTCCGGTAATTAGCTGCTGTTTCTCCCTCAATTGGGTGTGTCGATCATTCTCTTAATTTTTTTTAATGCACATATTCAAATACACTCATTTTGCTATGTCTTTACTTATTACTTACATCATGTATTGATAGATTTTTACTCTATCCATATTAAAGCTAGCATCATACTATGATGCTGAAAACTAAAAATTAACACTTTATTATGTCAATGGATTAGTTACTGTAGTTGATTAGTCAACACTGTTGCAAGAAATTACCACAACCTAATTTTTGCAGGGGGCTTCTTGTCATTTAAGCCATCTATTCCAAAAAGCTTGTTGCTGAGTGGGGAGCATACTGTTGAATCACATTTTACTCTTGTTAATTACCAAGTATGTAGGTATCCACCTGTTGCTGTTCGTGTCTGCATTTTAAGCGAAATTATGGTGTTGCATCTTGTAATATTTGTTAAACATTAATTTTTTCAGATTAAACAGATTAGGACAGCACTTGCAATTGCTTCCCTTCTGAACAGAACGCTGGTAAGAACTAATTTCTGGGATCATACATGCTTATTATATTACTTGTTGAATTAGAGGGTGTCTTATTATCATCAACACTTTTAACTGTCATGCTCAGTATCCACTGTTAATTAACATTTCTTATGAATCCTGTTGAGTGATAAACCATTACCAATCATATGGAAGATGGACTGCTTGTCACTTCATTCCCCTTCCCCTTTTCATAAATAAGATTCCTTGAAAGCTGCCTAAAGTTGCAAGCAACCCTACAATCCAAAATATGTTGAAATACATTCTTTCATGTCCTAACATTTTCAAAATAGCTTATATAACTGGTTTTGATTCAGTTTTAGTTGAAATTATTTTTGATAAAACGGTTTTAATTAAAATTTACTACTGGGGCAGGTGATTTGGCTAGGGTGGTGGTGCTTAGTTATTAAGTTTGATGGCTTCTTTTTTTGTAGTGTATTTTAACTTTATAAATATATATATTTTTCTTAAAATGGGTGCTTTGTTTATGTTTAGGTCATGCCTCCACTATGGTGCAGGATTGATAGGCTATGGTATCCCCATCCTGGTGTTTTGGAAGGGTCTATGACTAGACAACCTTTTCTCTGTCCTTTGGACCATGTATTTGAGGTATTTCCTATTTAAGTGATTCCTTATTGTTTTTACTGTTCATTTATCATTTAGGTCATCTTGAAGGTTTTGGACTGTTCTGTTGGTCTGCAGGTCAATGACAGATAGTGGAAGGTTTTTGTCATAATTGTAGCTGTAGTAATTAAAGAAACATTAAATAAAAATGGGTTAAATTGAAAGTTAATGATAGAAGTTACAACAGAAATGTATTTGAATGGTATTTCATTGTAATTTTGTAGAAAAGTTTTGTGTAATTATCGGTGTTTGAAAAGCACCCCTTGATGTTCTAAAAGTAACCCTCAAAACGCACAGGTAGGTTTTGAGAAGTAACTCTAGAAGAATGATTGAACACCTAGATTATAATTTAATATCAGTTTGTGGTGATATTGTAGTAAGTGTCAGTGATTGCTGTGTGATATTGAATCAGACTGGATAGCCTTTGATGGGAGTGGAATATGTGAACAAAACCATTCTCTTTATAGACTTGATTTATGCACTTATCATTTCAAGGAAAAAAAGGAAATGGAATCTGAATGGGCTCAAAGTGCAGAAATTTATTCGTATAAAATTTCATTTGCACTATTTATCCCATCCCACCACTTACTACCTTTGTGATTTCCTTTAATAAAATCCTAGAAAATTATGAGTGTTGGATTCATGTCTAAACTCGTTACCTTATCGGTGTGCTCAAAATCAAATAAGGAAACGCTACTCTTTTTTATCAGTTAAATGGTTTTAGAATTTTGTGTTTTCCCCAATTTTGGTTACAATTTTTAATGTGCTTTCTTCCCCATCTTTTCTTCAGCTCTGCTTCTCCCTTGTTTACTTGATTACAACATTTTATCTGTCACTTCCTTATGCTGCTATGGAAATGCACTATTGCAGTTGAATGTCATGTTGAAAAAACTGCCAGAAGAAGAGTTTGGCCCTGACATAGATATTCGAGAGTACTCAATACTTGATAATCCCTCTCTGATGTCAGAGGTGAATAAATGTCAATTGCATTCAATGTTAATTCATAATTCTTGTTTCTCAATTTATGTTACTTATTTAAACTTATTTGCCTTGGTTCTTGAGTTCAGGTGAAAATGTCATGGCTTGATGTACAGCTCTGTAAAGAAGGAACCCCAGATTGTGATGCATTGAATGATACCACTGTTGGGGGAGTACTTAAATTTCCAAAGCAGAGCAATGAAGAAACGGTATTCCATGTTTTGTTTGAACTTACATATCTATTATCTTGTCTATCCATTTAATGCTTATTTCTGTTCGAAGTTTTCTAAATCAGCCCTATAAACTACATTGATATTATTATTTTTGCATGCCTGGTCTTTTTTGTTATTGTCTTCCATTAAAGAGCTGATTAGAAAAGCTCACATAGAAAATTGTGGTTGGAAAAGTGTTGGGCTTACAGGATTTTGTTTGCAAGTTTGTGGGGGGAAATCATGCTTTCACTATCGTAGGTTACTAATGGTAGGAAACTAGGAATTAGAAGTGAAGTTAGTCTAATGGTCCAAATATCAAATCGAAATGAATACGTGCATGATGCATTCAAATAGCTTGTTCGCACAGCACTCTTGAATAATTTTTGGAGGTCCAAAGTTATTTGGATTCAAAAAATTAATTGGGACCATCAAGTTGTCATGTTTGGCTGCCAACCCCAACATCAATTGACCCAAAAGTATGCAAGATACCATATTCTTCTGGCCAAAATTAATTTTAGTATATGCCTGTACCCATTACCCAAAATTAATTTTGTATGAGTATTCCCAAACAGAAAACCTTTCAAAAGTTTTTCTTCCAAAACATATTCTACTCAAAAGTAATTCTACACCATTTACCCAAACATGCATGATGTTTAATCTCTTTAGTCTGCATTTTTTTTTTCCTTCTTGAAGATGAAGGAATGTGATGCCGAAAGCACATAGAAAAGTGGCTAAACAGAAAGTTGGGATTTTATCAAGAGTAACCCTCCGGTTCTCAATTTCAATTAACAAAATAATATTATTCAACTCCTAGAATAAGGGTCATAAGCACCCTTTTATAGACTAATTACAAATTGATTCAAAATTTTAAATCTAAAATTCTAAAAATAATAAAACTTCCTAAAATAAAATAACAGTAATTAACATCTAAAAATAAATAAAAAAATTACAAATAAATAATTCAAAATACATCCCAAATCTTTAATCTCAAATCACGTCAAATATGTTGCTTTTCTTTTCTTCCCAAACAAATCACAATCACATATGCTGCTTTATTGGGACTTGGATTCAATTGTAGTTTGTCATATTTCAAATCACGGCCTCTTTCAACAATTGGGCCATACTTATTGGGCCACAACTCTAGTTGACTACGAGTTTCTTGAATCAATGGTTGGGCCATGTACAATGGGCCAACTATAAGTGCATTATTCTCCACTGCTAGGAAAAGATTCGTTCTCGAATCTTGCTTATCTCCACTGATTTGAATTTCTTTAGACAAAAATTCAAATGATAAATCTTCCTTTATTAGATCTTCATAATCTGATTCACCATCAGATTTATTATAGACTGGATTATCATCATAAACTGAATCTTCATCATAAGATGGATAATCATCAACAATAGGATAACTATCAACAATAGGATAATCATCATAAATTGGATTATCATGATAGATCGGCTCATCATCATAGATTGGATCATCATCACAAACTAGATTATGATCATAGACATGAAAGTGATTTGCATCTCGATATTTTGAAAAGTGGATTGATTTCCAGGTCGTACTTCCCAATTCTGTCCCTGGTTTAGAATCCCCAAGGGATTGACGTCCTCTTCTTCGTCATCAGATGCGTCATCTAATTCTATTCCTTTTTCGGATTGAATGCCCAACTTTGTCCACGCAAGTCGCCGCTCCAAATATTGAATTTCCATGCTCTGCACTTCCACAAGAGTTTGCTTCAAAGTTTGAATTTTCATGCATACCCGCATGAGTCGTCGTTCCAAATCTTGAATTCTCTTTCTCTGTGCCCGCACACATAGTCGCTTCAAAACTTGGATTTTCTTGTCCAACGCTTGCTCACGTCGTTGCTTCAAATCCTGGATCCGCCTTCCAAGCTCTTCATTTTCTATATCTCGCAGGTCAATTTGACGCAGTTGTCTATATTCTTCAGGAACGAATCCACGTTCCCTACCCTCGTGACTCCGCCGTTGTCGACCTCCACGATTTTGTTCAGCCATTGGTTGAAGGCAACCTAGTGCTCTGATACCAAATGATGCTGAAAGCGCATAGAAAAGTAGCTAAACAGAAAGTTGGGATTTTATCAAAAGAGTAACCCTCCGGTTCTCAATTTCAATTAACAAAATAATATTATTCAACTCCTAGAATAAGGGTCATAAGCACCCTTTTATAGACTAAATACAAATTGATTCAAAATTTTAAATCTAAAATTCTAAAAATAATAAAACTTCCTAAAATAAAATAACAGTAATTAACATCTAAAAATAAATAAAAAATTACAAATAAGTAATTCAAAATACATTCCAAATCTTTAATCTCAATTCACGCCAAATATGTTGCTTTTCTTTTCTTCCCAAACAAATCACAATCACATATGCTACTTTATTGGGACTTGGATTCGATTGTAGTTTGTCATATTTCAAATCACTGCCTCTTTCAACAATTGAGCCATACTTATTGGGCAACAACTCTAGTTGACTACGAGTTTCTTGAATCAATGGTTGGGCCATGTATAATGGGCCAACTATAAGTGCATCAGAATGAGAGATGTAGGGTTCACAAATTCAAGATTACTTTTTCATGTGAATTGAATAGTCATGTTATCTGCAGTGTTTTTCAAAATTTGTAAAAGTTTATGATCAGGTGTGTATGCTATATGGGAAGTAATTCCCCCCACCCCCAATTTATTAGGTTGGAATGATTAATTAAGTGACTGATTGTTTCTAAGCTATGTATACTGTGGTCAATTACTAATTAATAGTACTGGAGAAAGCATCCTCCATCCATATTTATTGGACATAAGTATGGACATACTTTGCATCTCCTAACAGGTTAAACTTGGAATAAGCAATGATCGAAATGAAATTTATTTAACAATTTTCATGTTCAGTCCACAAATGATTAAATTTTTGAGTAGAAGAGTCCAGATTCCTAACAAACAATTTCAAACTTGATTGGAAAGGATCTTTCTGATTCTTGAAGAATGGGGAGGGGGAGATTGATGGAGAAAGATTTCTTGTTCTTTTCATAAGATTGTTAGATTCACATGTTTGGTAAAAAGAATAATATTCTAGCCCACATCTATCGTACTTTCTTATGATGCTTGGTCAGACACATTTGAAATCGTAGGTGATTGTGGTTCTGGGTCATCATGATGGCATAGCCTGTGGTATGGGACCAAGAGTGGTCAGGGCTTACATTCTATATGTAAAATAATAATTTTCAAAATTATCATCTTAATATATTTCTCATCCACTAGTCAAATAGTCATAATTTCATAGTTGTGTACAAATTTCCTCTGTGCACTAATATTAGTGTTTTTATGAAATATTTTAATCTAACGCAGTTGTTTCTACTTGCATTTGTAGTTTATGAAAGTATTCTCATCATTCAAGGATGTAAAAGTCATCAAGTTCTCTTCAATGCAAGATGCTTTCACGGGTTTCACTAACAAGGCAAGGCCATTTTGCTTTTTCCATTTGAAGTATTACTGTTTGAGTTAGCATCAAAGATACAAAAAAAATTGATGTTCGTTATCACGTGTTGATACACCATGCATTGTTTTATTTTTTAAAGGAAAGGGAAGATAGATTCAGAAATCGTGTTAAACGGTATGTGGGCATATGGTGCTGTGTGCTAGATCACACTCCTGGTCACATATATTATGATATGTACTGGGATGAGAAACCTGGATGGAAAGCAATACCTCCTCAAACTTCCGAGGATGATCATCCACCTTGGTAAGATCAACTTCAGGTTTATGTTTGTCAAAACACTATGATGGATGGTGGAATAAGAGATAAATTCAGGTTTATGTCAAGGCCAAGATTGTATACTTTCAGAAATGAAGAACTGTATCCATATTTTTAAGATATTTATATAGATTGGACAGTTGGTTCTTGTGTAGCAATTAAGAAAATTTTTGTCCTGTATCAAGCAAACTAGAGAAATGGAAACCTACAGTTTCTTAGAGGACGGGGCACTTTTTGGTCTTTGATGTCGTAGTTGATATTGTTTGGCTTGTAATTAAATACTGGAGACATTCAATTGTATCACTCTTTTCTTCCATATTTTATTTCGAACAGAAAAAGTTATGTTCACTATTCTACTGTCCTTTGACATGTTCTTTTAGTTATCTCATTGGCTGCTGGAAATAAAACACCTGAAATATCAATTGTACCTGTTTGTCACCAGCTATTGATTTTATACTATTAATTTACATTCTTTATTATTCCAACCTCGAATGAAGGCATATATGTCCTTTCCTAGCTCCTCGCATGTCAATGTGAGTGTAATGAATATGAACGTTCCTTTGGTACTAGTACTCAAATGCAACCTGATTCTCAAGTGATTTTTGGTTAGATATTCCAACCCATTGCTTGAGCCAGAACTACCTCTGCTACAATTCTCCCATTTATCTTCTTAGCTTTTGGTGGGCCACACTACATGGCTATAACATTTAGTAGTGCATCTAATGTAACAATTTCATTTGAGTCATCAGAACAAGGTAGCATATCTTGGTACAACTTGTCTTGTGATGAAATTTGTCGTTTAAGTAGTGGATCATTATCTGGTGCCTGATTGGGTACGTGTTGTTGCCCTTCAATGTTGCTGACTTATTGGGTAGAAGAAGTGATAGCAGCAGTATTGCTATGTCCTTGTTACAACAGTAGCTCCTAATTTTCTTGTTTCGGTGGTTTGTTACTTGGGTTCAATTGGTTGGCTGCTGATATTAGAGGGTTTTTTTTTCCTTGTGCTAAGAGTTCAAGGACAAAGTGTAGCCGTACTTAACAATTTTGGTACAAATACCATGGGGTTTGAGGACAAGGTATGTGTGGGGATCCATATGATAGGAATAAATATGAAAGTTTATAGAGTGAATATGTGACGTGGTAGTAGTGAAAGTGGATGCATAAGAGAATTACAGCCGACAAAGTGCTAGTGTGTTCGCATAACTGTTTTAGTTAGCATGTTCCTAAACTTTATTTAATTCATTCAACAAATTCTAATAATACCACTAACGAGTCACAGAATTCAAGTTAAGACTTTATAAAGCAGGTTATCAGAATGCCAATCTCTAGCGTTACTGCCAAAGAAGCAAGCCCATTTGAACTGCTCTAACATTACTATAACAAAATCCTCCCAAGTTGTTAGGGGCACCTAGGGGTATTCATAATGTCCAAAAGAACCAAACCAATCCATAATCAAGCTGCTCCATATTTTAAAAATTGGTTATTTTTAAAAACCGATTTCATATAAAACTACATTTTATTTTATAAACTGGTTATTTATCAAACCATAAAAAGAATTGGTTATCCATAACCAAATTGATACTGCTCTACAATTAAAGAATAAATAAGTATTATTTTTCATCATGCCTATTATATTAGTGAATTGACTCAAACTTCCAAATAATAAACTAGCAGAAAAAGTTGAGCAGCTTAAGTAGAAAACATTTATTTTAAAAAGAAAATTATACATAAATAGAAAGGTCGCATCTTAAGAAAACACTTCTTATGTAACATAACAACTCCCCCCCCCCCCCTCAAAAAAAAAAAAAAAAAAACCACATACAAACCTCCGGGTAAACTCACAATTTGACAAGGCGAAGGCTTTGAAATGACAAAGATGAAGTTAAGAAATCATAATGAAAAGGGTAACGAAATTAATCAATTGGCTTAACGTCTCTGAAATGTGTAAGATGATGAATCAAGACTGTTAAATGACAACTCAAAACGGATTTACTTATTTGTTCTTTAATTTTAGAGCAGTTTGGTTATGAATAACCAATTATTTTTATGGTTTGGTAAATAATTAGTTTACCTTCCTCCATCAGTTCAAATGAAATTCTAAGTAACATAAATCTTGAGAGAACGGAGAGCAATTTTTTTATAATTTTCAAATAATTCAATTGTTCTTCTACCTCTCACTCTCAAAACAACGTGAAATAATTTCTATAAGAATCATTTCGTCCGGAGAGTTCCAAAACAATGAAGATTCTTGCAAGAAATAGTTGGTCAACTACCTATGACCGGGAGATACAAACGACTACTTATAAAAATAGCACAATTCATCAAAAACCGATTTTTACTTTTGTTAAAAAACCAGTTTTGAATTTGATAACCGGTTTATGGTTCATAACCGATTTTGATTTAAAACCGGTTTTGAATCAAAACCGGTTATAAACCATAAATCGATTTTGGATCCGGTTTCAAACCGATTTAGAAAATTAAAATCGCTTTTAATAATAGAAAACCGGTTCGGTTTGAAAACCAAACCTATTAAAATCGGTTCGGTTTGGTTTTTGTTAAAACCAGTTATGAACCGCTCTATGCACACCCCTACGAGAACATTTCATATGTTTCCCCACCTAAGACAGATCGAATCAACAGTAGACTTTCATTTGTAAGAGCATGTGACCCGTGTAGCCTTTCAAATGCTACCGTTAAAAGCCCATGTGCCACCAAGAGCGAACTTTTGGTGCCACCGTTGCATGTGCGACTTCCATTCAAATTTTGCCACTTGAATTTATTTTTTTCATCTCACTTTCGTATTCTCTCTTCATTTTTTATTGGTGTTCCCCACCAAAAAAATGGTACCACCGTTGTACCATAAAAATTTTTGTGCCACCAATGGTGGGAGTGAGGGAGGTGTTAGGGTAGAAGTCGCCCCTTACAAAATTATGAGTTTTTAGTTGTGGGTTGGGAAACGATTTCTTTGTAAAAGTATAAGAATAAGATTGTGTATAATGAATGCTCACCCATACTCTTGTAAGTTTTGGAGCCTTCCTTTAATTGTGAGCATTTTCTCATATAGATAGTGATTTTCTCCCATTGGGTTCATATAAATATTTGATGACATTAATATTTTTACAGTGAATGCAAATAAGTTATCTACATTCACTTATAGAATGATGTTATTTTGGGTTAAAAAAATTAAAAAATTATAATAATAAAGACTGTTATAACCTTGTAATAAATATAATTTCAAAACACCTTATTTTCACCCAAAAATGACGTTGGTTTTGAACTCAATGCAGATAACTTATCTGTATTTACTGGAAAAAAAAACAAACCCATATTTAATTGTGAGCACAATCTCTTTTTTCTTCTTTTTGTTATAACATAATGAACACTACATTAGCAATTTTGCACCCCGTCCCAACCCTAATTCTTCTAACAGCCCGTTTGTTTGACCTCGTAGAAAAAAAAGCTTTCATGCTTATTTTAAATTTATTTTTACAAAAGTTAAAGTTATTTAGATTCTTAAAAGAATATTTAGTTTTTGAAAAAAATATTTAACTTTTGACTTATATTTATTTTAAGGGGTTTGTTTTTCTCATGTTGCACAAGAAAACAAACTCTTCCTATACACACCATAAAAAGGTGTGCCACATTATTTTTTATTTTTTTTAAATAGGTGGGTCCCGCACTTGATGTATCTATAACATGAGATTAAAATTCTCCTATAGCATAAGATTTATTTTTCTCTTTTTTTATAAGCTAAAATTTTTAGCTTCCAAAAAAATAATTTTTTTGTTTTTTTTTGTGATTTCTACTTTTTTTTAAAAATAAATATCCAAACAAATTTACGAGGAAAAGTACTTTTTTTTTTCTTCTTAAAGAAGTAACTATTAGAGAGAGAAAAAACCTCATCTAAACTAACCCTAAACAGCCGGAAAACCAAATTGATATGATTCAACAATGGGTTTCGACTTATGGCATGAATGATGCTGGTACGCTTAGTCCAATTTGCTTGCGCACAGGAAAAGGTTCAAAAGGTCTTCTCAACAAATGGTCAACTACTGTTTAACTATCTGCCAATTGTTTAACTACTTAACTATCTACCAATTAAGGCAAAAAACAATTTAAATATTATTTTTTAATAAATAACTACATAAATATAGTCGTTTTGAAACTATATATGCAGGTGTAACAGTCAAGCACGTCCACATGGGAGATAACCCAGTGGAGAGACACGTCCATGTGGGACGTGAGACATATGAGAGACATGCCCACATGGGACGTGAGACATATGAAAGACATGCCCAACAGGGGCATGAGTGGTTTGGAGAGAGACACTTCCCATTTGGGCGTGACCGATGAGAGAGACACTTTCATGTGGGACGTGTTTCACCAGGTGTTGTCGCGTGTCACAACAGTCGACAGTTTGACCGTAAAACTTTGGAAGTCCATAACTTTTGACTCGGGTGTCCGAATTAGGTAAATTTTTTTTTTGATTCCACATAAAGAGGTAGTAACTATAACCTTCTCATATTTTTTAAACGTTCTTATTAATTTGGGTTTAAATGTGTATATATGTTGTAAATTCAAATTTTTTTTATGACAGACAAAATATGTCAAATGAGGTGTCATTACGTAGATCTCAAGAAGTTATATGGAATACAAATTTTTTTACCTAGTTCGGACACCCGAATCAAAAGTTATGGACTTTCAAAGTTTTACGGTCAAACTGTTGACTTTTGTGCCACGTGACAACATTTGGTAAAACACGCCCCACCACAAAATTATTTTTTCTTTGTCTAAAATCTTAATTGAATACTAACGGATTAGACGAACTCTAAAATAATCTTTTAAAATCCTAATCGAATACCACGTGATTTTTTTTCAATCTTTTAAAATTCTAATTGAATATGATAAATGGTATCAATTGATAGTATTTCCATTGATTTAAAACTGTACATCAATGTATCTTAAATAGAATAGGCTGTTACGGCTGTTACCAAACAGTCTGTTACCAAATAGTAAAACAACTTCCTAAAGATAAGTAACTACACCTAATTACAATAGGACTCAGTTATACATATCCTAACAAACTACAGGTTACAACATATCACAGCAAATCATAACAACATATAGAATCTTCTATTCCAACACTCCCCCTCAAGTTGGAGCATGAAGACATGAAATGCCTAACTTGGAAAGAACGGCAAGAAATGGAACACGACCAAGTGCTTTGGTGAAAATGTCTGCGAGTTGCAAATGAGAACGAACAAAAGTAGTTCGAATCGTCTTAGAAACCAACCTTTCCCGGACAAAATGGCAATCAATTTCAATGTGTTTAGTTCGCTCATGGAACACAGGATTTGCCGCGATATGTATAGCGGCTTGATTATCACAACATAATTCCATAGGATCATCATGGATAACATCAAGTGAAGCAAGAAAAGACTTCAACCATATCAATTCTGCTGTCGCGGCAGCCATGGAGCGGTACTCAGCCTCTGCTGAGGAGCGTGAGACAGTGAGTTGCTTCTTTGTTTTCCAAGAAACAGGTGAGGTTCCAAGCATAATGAAGAACCCAGAAACTGACCGGCGAGTTAAAGGGCAGCTGGCCCAATCTGAATCACAGAAAGCATGAATTTTGAGATCACTTTTGGAAGAAAGGAGGATACCTTGGCCAGGATTCATTTTGATGTATCTTAGTACCTGAATGGCAGCCTCATAATGTGCTTCCTTTGGAGCTTGCATGAACTGTGAAAGAGTGTGCACTACATAACTCAAATCAGGACGAGTGATCGTAAGGTACACTAGCTTGCCGACAATTCTTCTATAGCGACCTGGATCATCATAGTCAGGTCCATCTGCCAGAGCTAAGCGATGATTCTGTTCAATTGGAAACTGAACCGGTTTACAATCCAACAAACCTGTTTCTTTGAGGATATCTAATGTATATTTTCGTTGGCACAAGAAGATACCCTCATTGCTACGGGCAACCTCGATGCCCAAAAAATATTTCAAGTGACCCAAATCTTTAATTTTAAAACACTTGTTAAGATAAATCTTAACCTCTTGACATGCTTGGGAATCATTGCCTGCCAACACCAAATCATCAACATAGACTAGTATGGTCAAGAAGGTAGAACCACGCTTCAAAGTGAACAAAGTGTGATCTGCTTCAGATTGAACAAAACCGTATTTAATAAGTGAGGAACTCAACTTTGCAAACCAATTCCTGGGAGATTGTCGTAAGCCATATAACGACCTTTGCAAACGACACACTTTTCTTCCTTGTCCTTGATTAAAGCCTGCCGGTATGCGCATATACACTTCTTCGTCCAGTTCTCCATTAAGAAACGCATTATGAACATCCATTTGGTGCAAGTACCAACCTTTTGCAGCTGCAACCGAGAGTAGAGTTCTAACACTCACCATTTTCGCTACAGGAGCGTAAGTTTCATGGAAATCTTCTCCTGGAACTTAATGATTACCTGCAATTACCAACCTTGCTTTGTAGCGCTCGATGCTACCATTGGAATGATATTTAATTTTATATACCCATTTACATGGAAGGGCATGTTTGCCTGCAGGTAAATCAGTGATAGTCCACGTATTATTTTCTTTTAGTGCATGTATCTCCTGAGCCATAGCTTTACGCCAAACATCATTGGTCATTGCTTCTTTAAATGACCAAGGTTCACTACCTGCATCAATAGCAGCAACAAAAACTCGATGTTTTGAAGAAAAATTGTTAGTATTCACATAGTTGGCAATTGGATACCGTATACCTGAGGTGGAGCTAGAAGAGGTGAGACTGGGAGTGTATGTATGTGCCTCAATCAGATTACATTTGTAGTTACTCAAATAGGACGGAGGCCTTCGTGTGCGTGCTGGACGAAGAGAATTGTTTTGAGCTGATTCTGCACTTCTTTGCACAAGTTCGTGAGCTGAATCTTCATTCCTTTGTACGAGAGCAGGAGCTGGATCCTCACTCCTTTGCACTTGATCATCATTTGATGTAGAATCTTCATTCAGCTCCCTTTCAGACTGATGGACACTCCCCCTATCTTCCAACTGCACTTCTGCCTCACAATCATTTGAAGTTGATTGAGATACTGGATTGGCAGAATCATTAGAATCTATTGGTATAAATGTAGGTAATGATGGGCTAGGTGTAGGCACACTTATAGCAACAAAAGGAAACTCATCTTCGTGGAAACTGACATCTCTTGACACAAAGAATTCCTTAGTATTAAGATCATACACTCTCCAACCTTTCTGCCCATGAGGATAACCAACAAACATACACTGCCTAGACCGTGGACTAAATTTGTTTGTAGGTTTTGGTTGTGTCACCGCATAACATAGGCAGCCAAATATCCTTAAGTGACTGTAATCAGCAACAGATCCATGCAAAAGCTCATAAGGAGTTTTGCCATTGAGAAGCTTTGTGGGAGTTCTATTAATAATATGAGCTGCTGTCATCACACTCTCTCCCCAGAATTTGATTGGCAAGTTTGCTTGAAACAAAAGAGCACGAGACACATTTAGAATATGCCTATGCTTCCGTTCTACCCGACCGTTCTGTTGCGGCGTATGAACACAGGATTTCTGATGAAATATACCATTGGCAGTGAATAATTCAATCATCTTGTTGGAAGTAAATTCAGTTCCATTATCTGATCTAATACTCTTAACTGTTGTATTAAACTGATTTTGCACCATTAAAAGAAATTTTCGTAACACACCAAAAGTTTCACTTTTGTCACCCATCAAACAAACCCAAACAGCACGACTGAAGTCATCGACTATCGTTAAAAAATAATAAGCACTAGAGAAAGAGGAAGTGCGGTAAGGACCCCATGTATCACAATGAAGAAGATCAAAAATTTTATTACTCTTTCGATCACTAATGGGAAACGAGGATCGATTTTGTTTGGCACGATAACAAATATCGCATGCCTTATTGTTTACATTGCCAAATCGAATGCTACTAGAAAAAGGAATCAGAGAAAGTGCTTCGGATGATGCATGGCCCAACCACTTGTGCCAAAGTTCTTGCGTATCACTGGAGCGAACTGTTAAAGCTGCTGCTTGGCTTGGTCGAAACACATACACACCATCCCTGTGATCACCCAATCCAATCTCCGTCCTCAGCTTGCGGTCCTGCAAAACACAACTATTATTAGTGAATACCACATCAACATTATGTTGTCGTACCAACTGAGATACAGATATCAAGTTACACTTTAAATTTGGCACAAATAAGACATTGGATAATGAAAAAGTAGGAGTAAACAAAACAGATCCTTGTTGCACAGCATAAGTAATAGCTCCATTGGGTAAACCGATTGCCAAAGGTTCAACATCTGTAACATTCTCCAGCAATTCCAATACCCCTGTCATGTGGCGTGATGCACCACTATCTATAAGCCAGTGACAATGGGAATCTTTACGATTTAATTTGTCCTTTGAGCGTTGCGGGTTGTCAACCAATGATAACAATTGTGTCACCACGTCAGGTGTCAGAACGGCGAATGCATTTGCTTGCTCTAGTGGTTCCTCCGTTTGAGCTGCGTGTGCACCAAATGGCTTTGCATGGAATCCTCCTTGTGGGTTACTGCTCCTATCACCACCGAAACGTCCACGTCCTCGTCCAGGTCCTCGTCCTTTGCTACCACCACGTCCAGGATAGCCAAATGCTTGCCAGCATCGAGAGGCTTCATGATTAGTTTTCCCGCAGTGAATGCATGGAGGACGTTCAACAAACTTTTCCCAATTCTAGTAGTTGGCTTCTCCTCTCAGCATAACGGTTGTTAAAAGAATCCCTGGGCTATCTGATCCAGTCAGATAGAATGGTGATCCAGGGTCTGATGGCTTCAACCTGCTGCTGTTTTCATTGGCCATCTTCAACAGAAGCTATCTCCTGCTCACTGTTTTCAGAGTCTACACGTTGCGGAAGTTTTTTTTTTTTTTTTTTTTAACAAGGGATCGCTCTGATACCATGATAAATGGTATCAATTGATAGTATTTCCATTGATTTAAAACTGTACATCAATGTATCTTAAATAGAATAGGCTGTTACGGCTGTTACCAAACAGTCTGTTACCAAATAGTAAAACAACTTCCTAAAGATAAGTAACTACACCTAATTACAATAGGACTCAGTTATACATATCCTAACAAACTACAGGTTACAACATATCACAACAAATCATAACAACATATAGAATTTTCTATTCCAACAGAATACCTATGAAATTTTTTGTTCAAAAATAATTCATTAAAATATTTTAAAATCTCAATCCAATACATCACTTAAGTTGTCAAAAGGGATTTGAGAACTAGTTAAGTTCGTGTAACTTTTTTTTTTGTTACTCATAAGTTGTCAAAGGGGTCTGGCAATTAGTTAAATGCATATATGCAAGAATTCAACGTAATGAGAAGGGCTTAGATGGACGATTAACCATCTGAAGATCATACAAATCTCGCCCTCCCAAAATTCAACAATCAGTATTTGTAATTCGTTTACGATGAAAATTTAGAGAATAATGTAACTATATTTCCCCATATATATGACCAATCGCCCCCTCACAAAATTTTGGGACTGTGCCACAGATTCAACATATAGTTTGTTCTGTTCAAGTATCTTTTCTCTTGTGAGCACTATGAAATACCGAGGAGAAATTGCATATCACATATGAATAAGAGAACGATATGGTTTAAGTTGTGCATTGTGCAACATAAAGACAATGCCAATTAACTACCACTTCACATTGAGGGAAAAATAAAATAAAATTCAACTGAGGTAAAATGAAATGGTATTATAACGCAAAACAGGCTACGGTAAGTACGCATTAATTTATCAATGTTTCTTGCTGTCAGCAATAAGCCAATAACTCCAGAATTGCTCATATATAAGATCTAGCGCATCTGTGTGGTTTTCTGATCAATTACTCGAATCTAAACCGAACCGTTTATCTTGGTCAATGCCAAAGTATCAAAGTAACCAAAAAACGTAAGAGCAAGGGACCAAGTATGATGCACTGACATCAGACATCATACGAAGTATGGTTTATTTATAAAGCAATAAGCACTACGTAGCAGCATTTAGAGTAGTCATGGTTGCATATACATTCCTCACTTCCACTTCTTGAACCCACCACCATGCTTGCCGAACTTTCCATGCTTCCCAAACTTTCCATGCTTTCCATGCTTGAACTTGCCATGCTGCTTGAATTTGCCGTGGGGCATGTGACCACCATGTCCGTAGTGGCCATGGGCACCATGGGAGCCATGGGAGAGATTGTGAGCACCATATGCAGCAGCCGCAGCGGCAGCACCCCCAACAAGCATTGTTCCCATACCACCATGCCCATGTCCATGAGATCCTGTTGATGACAACAGGGAACTTAGCAGATTACAAGGATTTTGGCGTAAATCATAGCAGAAAAACTTTCAAAAAGCAAATGGATCAATCAACAAGCACAAACATGTTTAGAATACAGTAGGGAACAGCCAAATCATACATGACATTAAAAAATATATATATATTACTTAAGTGTGTTGAGAGCTAACAAGAAACAGCCAAATCATACATTACATTAAAAAAAACGTATTAAGAGTGTTGAGAATGCTAACAAGAGGACAAAAATGTCAGGAGAATACATTCGCAAATCTAATTAACAATGTCAAAGTCAATCAGTCCCAGGTCATGAAATGCATTTTTAGCTAAACAATTGGTATATGTTGCATGAAATTCGGAATATATATAGTATACATAGTGGATAATGTAGTTCTAAAAGACACTACTATCTCAATAAAGTTAAATAATGCTTCTTAATAGGCAGCTTCACAAAATTTACAACTACAATTGAATTCAGAATTCAATATGTCAGGTGATTGTAATGATCAGTAACTTAAAGATGCAATGAAGTAAAAACAATTCAAAGGAAACATACCTGAGGCATGTGGATCAGGGTAACCAGCTGGTGGGTAACCGGCAGGAGGGTACCCACTAGGGGGATAACCATGTGAAGGAGGGTAACCTTGTGCAGGTGGATACCCTTGATGCGGAGGATACCCTTGATTTGGAGGATAGCCTTGATTTGGAGGGTACCCCTGATGCGGAGGGTATGCCCCTGGTGGTGGTGGGTAAGATCCAGGTGGGTACCCATGTCCACCATGTGCAGCATTAGCTACCCCATGAGCAAGGTGTGAAAAAATTCCTTTGTCAGATTCATCATGCTTGTCCTTACCACCTCCCATCTTTCAAGGCCCAAGACACCCTGAAATTCACAATTAGACGAATTGTTAAAACAAATTTACATAAAAACAAAGAAACACTATACAGGGAATCTCCAATCCTAGCCATTCAGTTCTAAAGTTGCAAACTTTGCTAAATTTATGTCAAAGATGAAATTCATTTTGCATGCAAAAATAAAAAAAAACTGTGATTGAAGAGATCAATCAGAATAACACTGATGATCTCTGCAGAAACCATCATAACCTATAAGTGTGTCCAAATTAAGGTATCGATCATGGAACAACGGTGGATTTATTAAAGGATCTGACATGTTCAGCAAAAAATTATACGCAAATAAGGAAGCTACAAAATAGATCATAATGAACAATTAGGGAACTCACCGATTTGAATTTGCAGAATAAGACGATGAAGAAATGGAGAGATTACAATGTAAAAGGAGGGAGGAGAGAGAAATAGGGAACCTTCTATATAGATATTGGGTATTGATTATTCAGACTTTGTGAAAAAGTGGATAAGAATCAAATAAACGCGTTACGCATACTTACGCGTCACCGACGCGTGCAACTGTCCTTTCGGAAGAGTGCCACGTGGAAGATGTTTATTGCTTTATTTTTTTCTTCTTTGCAACTAAAGCTTGTGTTCATTTTAAATGATAATAATAATAATAATTAATTTTATTTTTTTAAAAAAATGTATGTCATTTTAAAAGATATAAAATTGTGTCATTTTAAGTAAGAGAAATAGATAGATAAAGGGAGAGGGAGAGGGAGAGGGAGAGGGAGAGGGAGAGAGAGTGAACAAAAAAAATAAAAGTGTGAATCCCACCTTTTTATAAGAGTGAAATGATATAAGTTATGTCAATTAAAATGATAAATATTTTTTCTCTCTTTTAAATATCAATAAATATCCTAAATTCTATTAAAGTTGTTATTTATTATATAAGTTGATATTACACAAATAAACTTTTATGACGGGACACAAATAACATAAAGGAATATTAACATAGTTAATTTCGGATTTGCTAATTGATACGTAATTCAATATAAAAAAAATTTTAAGTCAAATTTTGCCAATACAAATACAATATGAATTTAAAAATAATTCAATCGAAAATGAATATCGTGTTAACGGATCTTATTAAAAATTATCACCTCTAATGCAAACCGGTTTGAAAGTTGGTGCATAGTGTCGGAATTGACTTTTTGGATTTTTGTTTGTAAAAATTTGAAAACTTTCATAAATAAGTATCAAACTTGGGTTCGGACATGATAGCAGAAGAATGCAATATTAACCATTGAACCATTTCCGTTTATCTCTCACTTGTTTCTAAAAATAATGATTGACCTATGAAATATCGACACTTCAAAAATTTTAATGTGTCGTGTTCGACACTCTCCAATGTTTTGACATTTTTTGATACTCTAACACTTCCTGACACTCCGACACTCGTTATAGAAATTCAAAAAAAAGTTCAAAGGTTACATTTTGAGTTTTTAGTTCCAACTATTAGATTCGTTGGATTACGATTATCATTTTATCGAGTTTAATATAAATATTTGGGATATCTTATATTTTTTTGCAAAATTGATGAATATTATAAGTTTAATTTCATTTTTTTATTAAATTATTAAATATTAAATATAATATACACTACATAAATTAAAATATTATTTAATATCAAAACATATCCTAACATGCTAAAATCTAATATTTTTTAGAATTAAAGTGTTGGAGTGTCGTATCGTATCGTATCACGTGTCTTGTGTTGTATCATATCACGTGTCTTGTGTCGGTGTTACAAATCTGCCAACTACTCACATGTATTGAATAAAACATGGCTTTCTGTTATTGGAAGAGCCATGTCCTAGCGAGGTGTCTCAAAACATGAAATATGCAGTTGGTTTCTTTACAAAGAGCATTTTTATTAAAGGGAAAATGTTTTTTTATATGTGACAGAAATTTTTTTCTCTCACAAAAAATAAAAATGAAGAGAGAGAAACATATAAAGAAAAATAATATGATAATTAATGAACTTCACTTCTTTTTTTCTTTCTGTGACAGACAGAAAATTTTTGTCACATATGTCGAAAACATTTCCCCTTTATTAAATAACCACAATAACATTTTTTTTTTCATAACATTTTTTTTTCAATTTTTTTATTGGCTCGTGCCTCACATAGGTTGAATGAACAGATATCATATTATATTACACAATAAACATTAGTAAAGATAGTTATATAAGTTTACCAAAAAAAAAGATAGTTATATAAAGATATATGTTATTATTATATCTTAAAGAAGGGAAATAGCTTTTTTATATTATAAGAAAATAATTATCTTATGTTATGGAAACAAGATTGCAAGTGAGATCCATAGATAAGAGGAGAGAAAAAAAAAAGTGAGACCCACCCATCTTTTGTGTGTATAGAAAATTTAGTTATCTCATATAAAATGAAATAAATATAATCCTTTAAAAAAATGGTGGTGAGATTAACTATTTGTCGAAGAAGATAAATTAGCTAATGATCTTGTATTATTGGTCCTTCAAAGGTGTCTAATACATTCAACAATATCCTAGTGTTACGTTTTTTCTTTCAAAGAAAATAAATAGAAAGAACACACACATAGAGAAACAGAGAAATCAAAATTGAGAGCAGGGAAGCTGCACCTTAATCAACATGCCTTGATACTTTTCCAGTGGTGTAGCTTAGAGTTATTAGAGAGTATATAGGACCCGTTTGAATGATCACATCCATTGAGAGCAGTGGCACCCAGGAATTTTATTGAGAGAGGGTAAATAAAATATTTCTTCATAAATAAAAGTACTTCAAATACAATTCAGACCTAATATGAAAAAAATTGAAAGAAATCTATTACAGAAATTAAGATCACTTCACTTAACTCTTACTCTACGTGTTTTCATATTGTTAAACTCACTATAATTGAATCCGTGCTAAAACTCAAAATAATTTCTTTTTCAATGTATATAATCAATGAATCATCAAGAAATTGATCTTCCATTCTATTTCGAAGCCTGGTCTTGATTATCTGCATAGCTGAGAAAGATCTTTCGGTAGCTACTGTAGAAACTGGAAGAGTGAATACAAGTCTAATTACTCTATCAATAAGAGGGTAAATGATGAACTTTCCAGTTCTTGCTAGCCCTTGACATAATTCTGATGTAGTTGATAAATTAATCAAATCTGGATGTTTAGGAATGTCAAGCTGAAAATGTTGTAACTCCATCTTCAAATGCAATTTTTCCTGTTCTGTGAATTCTCTAGAATAAAATTTATCAACAAGTTTGCAAATATCATCACTATTAAATGACTTGTACCTGTTTCTTGGATCTAAAGTCATGCTCAAAGCAAGTAATTCTACAATATTATCATTGAACCTGTTATTTAATTCTTTCAAATGATAATCGATTGTAGGGCTTTGAGGGTTAGAATTCACAATAGACATTTTGGGATTTTAATCTGGACAAGGGTAGAATAATAATTTGTGCATGACCTAGACATAGGCTTACATAAATTGCAGACTTATAATTCATTTGCTTAATGCTTAATTCAAGAGGGATTACTAAGACATTAGAATTCTGATTGGGTTAAAGGGTTGAAATCACTAGGGTTCAACTATTTTATAGGAAAATAATAAATTGTCTGAGCAAACCAATTAGTTAATTATAAAATACAATATAGGAATATAAGGGAGGATCAGAGGTGAAATATATCCTGGCTACAGTTTTTTTACAATTTTCAATCAATCTCATATTTTCTTTCCGTTCTTTGATTAATTCTTGCATGCTTCTTAATATTCTTGTTTTTAAAATTCTATTTTTGAAATTCCAAAATCAATCACTTTCACAACTCAACCAAATTTTCTCTTCCAACTTAAGGGGAATAGTTAAATTAATACTTGGTGCATTAATCCTTGAGGGAACGATACTCTGCTTATTACTCTATTACTTGAAACGAACGGTATACTTGCCGATTTTTCCACTGATAACCCTAGTGGAGAAAAACCCATTTGGCGGGGAAGACTATGAAGACCCCCATGATTTCGTAGACAGATTTATGAGAATATGTGACACTACTAAGCATAACGGGGTGTCAGATGATGCAATTATACTCTGGCTGTTCCCTTTTGCTGTAACAGGGAAAACTCTCAGATGGTTGGATATACAAGCTCCCAACAGCATCAGAACGTGGGATGAGCTGGCAACCAAATTCTTCGCAGAACACTTCTTCAGGGAGAAATACAACAAGTTGGTGAATAAAATCACCAACTTCACTCAACAACCATGAGAAACTCTATGTGCAGCTTGGATCAGGTTCTAAGAATTGATCAGAAGATGCCCCGCGTATGATCTGCCAGACGGAAAGAAGGTCAGAGTCTTCTATAATGGAATGACACCAAACTCCAGAATGATTGTCAATGGTGCAGCCGGTGGGACCATAGAAAAGAAGACAGCAGCTCAAAATTTAGAGCTGATCGACTTCATGGCGAGGGGTGAGAACGCATCAATGGCAGTTCAACCAATTCAACCAGTTCAACCAAGAAGGGGAATTTTGCAATTGGGAAACAAAGATGCATCGCTAGCAGAACAAAAGATCGTATCTCAACAGATAGCCAGTTTGAATGCTAAGTTGGAAAAGATGCAACTTTCTACAGCTCAAGTTAACTCGTTTAACTGTGAGTATTACAAAGGAGAGCATGAGACCAATGAATGCCCAACACTTGTAGGAGCTGATTCCTTTCAAGTTAATGGAGTCTGGTATGATCCAAGACCAAAACAAAACTTCCAGAGAAATTAGAACAATGCTCCAGGAAACAACTTCCCAAGGAGATTTCAAGGGGGAGGTTTAGATTACAAATCCGACCAATATTTACACCTCCTTCAATTTCACAAACTCCAACATCTAAGCTAGAGAAAACACTGATATAGTTGACAAAGAGAACTGAAGCGTTCATGAACGAGACCAGGACTCATCATAAAAATCAAGATGCTTCAATCAAAAATCTGGAAACTCAAATTGGGCAGTTGTCGAGACAATTAGCTGAGAAAAGTCCTAAAACATCCCCCAGTGACACTATAATCAACCCAAGGGAGCACTGTAATGCCATCACTACTAAAAGCGAGGATCTAGAAAAAGTGAAAGCTCCTACAGGAAAGGATGAGCACACTCAAGAAGGCAAGGAAGAAATAAAAGAGCAACCTCCTGTAGTTCAGAAGAAGCAATGGAATTTCTCACGTTTTGAGAAACCTCTATATCCCATGGGGAGAAAGCAACATGAGCAAAGGAAGAAAATGTCTAAATTTTTAGATATTTTTAAGAAATCGCATATTAACATTCTTTTTTGTAGAAGCTCTGGAGAAAAAGCCTTCATATGCAACGTTCCTGAAGGAGACATTTTCTAAGAATCAGAAGCTCACTGAGGATGAACATGTTATACTAATAGTGGAGTGCAGTGTAATCATAAAGAAAACTTGCCTCCA